AGCTGATGACTTTAAATGTCTTCTGATATTACTTATTCAATTCAAAGAGTTAAAGATTTTATTTTATTAGGTTGATTATGCAAGCTTATGTGCATGTAAAGCTTATGATCAAAGCTCTAGATGACATTTTCATTTTTAATCGTACCAAGAAGGAACTTTGGCTTAATAAATGCGATTACCCTATCCTCTATTTTTCCCTATACAGAACTTTGACTCTGGGGTCTTGGAAATTGAACCTAAGGACAACAGACTTTTACTAACTAATTACAACACCGATGGATAGCATCTTATTCTACAACTTCACTTGATTCCATTTGTCACCTAAAGTATGAATTCCTGGGAAAATCATTAAATCCTTGTTGAGAATTTGACATTCCGGGAGGAAAATATCTTGGAAGTTCATTGGCATTCATGACCATTCACAATTGATGATCAAACGCTGACTAGGAAGAATACGCTAATGATGACAATGATGTGCAAGACTTGTATTCATCAAAGGCATACAATGAAATTAACTAGGTACTTCCAATGATATCAAATGATCAAAAATCAATAACAGGAGGCCAGTGGGCCACAGAACTCACCAGAATCACATCCAGATTCATCAGCGTTTTTGTTAAGATAAAAACTATGAAGATCCCAAAAACAATGTACTGCTTTCTAAGAGCAGGTGATAAAAAGAGAAAGTCAAGACACAAGTTATAAGATTAAAACAATCAGAAGATATTCAAATCATTTCATCAGTCAAGATGTCATCAAACATTTAAGTATCCCCTCTTAACTTTAAATAGATGAACATGATGAACATCTGCCACAAATTGGACATTATACATATATCACATGGCTTCGAGGGTGACATACCAGAATATTTGCCCCTTGGTGACAGGAAAGGCCTGGAGTGTTATGTCACCCGATGCCGAAAAAATTAATTAATTTTAATAAAAAAAAAATTTTAATCATTCAAAATCGTTAAAATTTACACAAATAATCCAAAAATGCCTTCTTGAAATTAAGAAATATGCTGTGTTGTTTACTTTTGCTTAGCAACCGACGTCATAAAATCTCGAACCCGAACTAAATTGCGTAATGTAAAAACATATGAATGTGATCGAAAGGGTGGCATAACTGTTTCCGTCGGGGGTGACATAACTGTTTCTGGCATGACATAACTGTTTCCGATGTGACTAAGCATTTTTCAGGGTTTATAGCGAAACTTATTACATTTGTGATATAATAAGAAAACCTATTCCAAAATGTTATATTATATAAATGGTGCCTGTTTTGGAGGGTAACAGTTGAAATTGACACCCCAAGGAAAACCATTGTCAACCGACGTGTCAGCGGAGGTTGACAATAGTTTTCCGAGGGGTGTCAATTTCAACTGTTACCCTCCAAAACAGGCACCATTTATTTTATTATACTGAATGTCTTCTTGATTTAAGATGTCAGAAAAAAAATCGTTGATCGTCTTTAATTACGTTCATGTTTAGAAAGCTTTCAAACTCCACGCTACTACGAAAAAGATTTACTGACCTCTTTATTGTTTATTTGATACTCTAAGAGTCCTTTCTCATCTAAAGTTTCGTTATTTCTGCACTCGCAAGCATGTTTCGTCTGTCGTTTGTTGTTTTCAAGTAAGCTACATCGGACGCAAGCTTTTATTGACGTCAAGTTTATTCCGGTTCTTTGAAGCACACAACTGACCTTTTGAGAATTCTACGGTGAACCGTACGTGCATAATTTCCATAAAGCCCAATTAATAGACTGCTAATTATGCCTGTATTGACATTTCCTAGAAAATCTCTAAAATTTCATTATAATCTTTAACTTAGAAATTCCCTCCTTATAACACTTTTTTCCAAGAATGCAATTGCTCATTTAAAACGAGAAATGAAATGGTACTTAAAACATAATAAATTCACTTCAATACCTTTGAGAATTTTCACTTAATGCCAAAATTAATAGAACTTCAACTAATTTCAACACTTTTATTCAATGCATGTATCTGACCTTTGATATTTAAATTCAAAATTTAACAAGAGGCCCATGTGCCACATTATGCTTACCTGAGTAACTTTGGCCATGCTGTTCTTCACTAGATATTGATTCCTTTTGTAATACCCCCCCCAGGGGTCATGATTTGAAAATTTAATTTAGAATCTACAATATCCCAGGATTCTTCTACATAAGTATAAGCCTTCCTGAGAAGATTTTTTATGTAAAACTTGGATTCTCAATGGTGGCCATAACCTACCCCCAAGGGTCATGATTTGAACAATTTAATGATGCAATATCAGAGCTGCCAACATTCTGAAATGAAAAATAGTAAGGCGGGGTCCAGGGACCGCTTAGGCCCTATGTCGCTGAAGATGTTTTGTAAATGGACATGCAATCGGAACAATTTGAGGCACTTTTCCATTTTATTTATTTTAAAACATTGACATGAATGCAATCGGCCATCTGAAACCGAAACAACGATTATACAAGCAAGGGTTGTAAGGATTATGAAAATTTAATTATAATAGTAGAAACCAGTTATGAAAATTCCGGTATTGTAAACTTTGACCAAAAAAATCGAAATCGTAAAAATCTAGAGAGAAATCGTAAGGCGTATTTGGGGTGCTAATTTCGTAAGACTTACACCAAAGTCGTAAGGGTTAATGGCAGCTCTGCAATATGTTTCAAATAATATTTTCTGACTTAACATAAAAAAATTTAATGGATATATTATTTAGCTTTGCTTTTCTTCTTTATGTACATATGTGCAAGAGCCAAGACATTTAGTGTTGTACTTGAATTAGCAAAAGTTTCTTCCCACCTGATGCATTAAAAAGAATACACAGCCAAATGTAATATATTTACAGTAATTAGCTTTTCTAATATTCAATTCATCAGCAATCAAGTCCATGCATTATCAAAAAGTGCTTTGGACCTTCCCAAAAGTACAAAAGAGTGACTTGTAAAGGTATTTATTTACCAGCCCACATCATCTGCTTTCAACATCCAGGCAGGGCTTCACACATTAGGTACTATAAAACTTACATGCAGTGAAAACACTGAGGTTCAACAACCTCTAAAACAATTCAAAAACTTTTATATGATGTAGAAATTTACATATCATGACTAAGAATGCTCAAAACAAACTAGAAATATGTCCATAGGACATGAATGCCCTGCCAAGAGAATATTAGCAATGCAACATTTAAATTTGTATTAGTGTATGAAATTTGATGAGAATATTTTGAATAGTGATGCCGTTGAATTGCTTAAATTAGTATGTATCAGCATATGAATTTGACACTAATTTCAGAAAAGTGAGGTCAAGGTCAAAGGAAAGGTCAAGGTCAAAATGTTGATGCAGTTGAAAAACTCTCATCAGTATGTATCAGCATATAAAGTTGAAAAAATATTATGAATAGTTCTTTAAAACTGACTTAAACACAATTTGATAAAAAATGAGGTCAAGGTCAAATGAAAGTTCAAGGTTTAAAATGTTGAGGCAGTTGAATTGCTTACATCAGTATGTATCAGCAATTGAGTTTGACACTAATTTAGGAAAAGTGAGGTCAAGGTCAAAGGAAAGGTCAAGGTCAAAAATGGTGAAGCAGTTGAAAAGCTCTCTTCGATATGTATCAACATATGAAGTTTGATAATACTATCTTGAATGGTATGTTTAAAACTGAGCTAAACACTAATATTAGAAAAGTGAAGCCAAGGTCAAAGGAAAGGTCCAGGTAAAAAAAATGTTGATGCAGTTGTATAGCACTCATCAATATCTATAAAATGCTGATGAAATATCTTGGATAGTTTCTTTATAACTGGGCTAAACACTAATTTAAGAAAAGGAAAGGTCAAGGTCAAAAATGGTGATGTAGTTGAATAGCTCTTTTCAGTATGTATCAACATATAAAGTTTAATAACACTATCCTGAATGGTATCTTTAAAACTGAGCTAAACACTAATTTTAGAAAAGTGAGGTCAAGGTCAAAGGAAAGGCCAAGGTCAAAAAATGTTGATGAAGTTGTATAGCTCTCATCAATGTCTATCAGCGTATGAAGATTGATGAAAATATATTACATAGTTTCTATAAAACTGAGCTTTGAACAGAGCTAAACGCAAAGTGTGACGAAAGGACAGACAGAAGGACAGAAGGATGGAAGATCTGATGGACATGACAAACACTATATGCCCTATTCATGGCAGGGAATAAAAATATGCTTGATTTAATAAGAGGGAAAACCAGTACTGGTTTCTTACCTCTAGAGATGGAAAACTTTGTGAGAACAAAGTTAGGGCCATCAAAGGTCACCTGTAATTTGTAACTGATCAGGTGTATAAAAGGCATATTTTTCATATACAAAGATAATATTTTAAAAATATGACCCGAAATTTTTTTTATTATTATATGTTATATTTTACCACAATTTACTTATCTTCAAAGTTAAATTATTCTTTAAAACTGGTATCTAATGATAAATATTTGGCTGAGAGGATCTCACTAAGGCATGCTACAGGAAATGTCAACAAATGTACCTGAACTTCTGTCAAAAGATTCAAATATAATGCTGCATAAAAGGAAGGTGGCACCTGGACAAATTTTAGAATTATTAATCTTAAAAACAGACAGACAGACAAAGCAATACCTTCAATACATGTATAACCTAAAAATCTATAGGATACAGGATTTGCAGAGTTCTAATTAGTATAAAACCAAATACCCATCATAAAATGAATATTTATCTCTTCCTGAGCATCCAACATCATCAATTCTAGGCATCTTACACTTAATATAAAATTCTGTTTAAAAAAATTGAAAAAATCTCAAAAATATCAAGTGTGATTAATATTTATCAAATAAATGTCGGATACACCTGAGACAATTATAGAATTTTATTTACAGAATGTCCTTGACCTATTAATAGAAACAAAAAGTAAGTTGCGCTTTTAGTACGGTACCTGAAAAAGATTCACAAATCATTTACTTACATATATTGGTGCCTGAACAACACTATCCCAAAAAAATTTCATGTCCAGTGTCTCAGGATAAAGAATCTAATCATCTTCAGATGTTCTTTACAGAGGCTGAAGAGTAAGTCGCTTCACTAACACATCATAATCACATATGACTATCTGCAGGTAATCCTAACACATGCTGGATAAGTAATAATATGTCGTGACTACCGCTAACAGTATTCTATCTTTTAATATATATTTGTTTGAGATAATTCCATCTTTGTAAAGGAATGGGGACTAATCATTCATAATCAAGATAATATTATTAATCATACTTTGTCATACCCCATAAAAAAGGAATTTTGGAAGTTCTACGGAATGCTAACCTCATTTGACCTGGATTGCAGACAAGGTCAGGCGAATAGTCAGAATGGAAAAGACATGTACACAGAGAAGGCAAGGGGTCTAAGGGCTGCCACAAGTCCCTTAGGGGTCTAGGACAAAGCTTCAAGAAGTTCCTGGGTTTTTCCAAGTATTTCATTTTCCTGGGGGAAAATTGTGCTAATTCCCTTTTCTTTACAGTATAACAGTTTTATTAATTAACGCAAAGATAATATTGGATTACTTCACTAAGCAACATGTATAAGAAATGTAATTAACAAACAAGAGGCCCAAGGGCCTTAACGGTCACCTGAGTTTAAAACAACAATCCATAGAGTATAAAGCTAACTGATAAAAGAAGCTTTGTTGCCCACAAGCAAGAGAAAAAGGGTGATATTGATCATCAAAATAATTGGTCTAGTATTCAGTTACAATTGATAAATTAAGATTGTATGTTGTTTTAACGTCCCTCTCAAGAATTTTCACTCATATGGAGACACCACCACTTGCCGGCGTAGAGATACAAATTTTTTCCTATACTCGGCACTCAGGACCATTGAGCAGTGATGGATCTTTTTCGTGCCAGCACCTACTGCGACACAGGACCTTGGTTTATACGGACTCATCCAAAGGACTTGTCTCCACATCCCACAGTAGAATTTGAACCCGCGACGTAAGGATTGACTACTTACTTCATGACTCTAGGGCAGATGCTCTAACCACTGCGCCAAGCAGGCAACAATAAATTAAGAAATAATTAGTCTAGTTTCCCATTTAGTTTTTTTTCTGTTAAGTTTTTTTTGGTATACTGGCCCCTCCCTTCCCCCAGGGGTCATGATTTGAACAATCTTGAATCCACACTACTGACTATTACTTTTTGTTAAAAAGAATTTCATATTCGTGTAATAATGCAAGGCAGTGTGCTGGCAAAAATTTCATACTCATGTGTATTAGTATTCCTAAAGATTTTATAGAGCAGTAACAACAACTGAATATTCTGTCTCGCTAATAAAAAGTCAGTGACTATTTCGTGAAAATAAGGTGTCACAAAAATTGAATGATCTACATTTCTACAGTGTGTCTGAAGATCTTTCTGTATTAAAATGACTATCAGGTAATAATGGCTTCATTGTTTATGAGAAGATTTTTTAATAATCTTTCTAACTAAAACTTTGATAACCTAGGCCTAAGAAGTGGTCAAAATTAAATTTTGTTTGCAGATGCTTTCATACACAACAAATCATGGCTTTGCTATTTTTGAGAAGATGATTTTTCTTATGTATTCATATGTCAAAAATCATCTGTATTCATATGTCAATCTTTGATCATCCATTGTCACCCCACCCTATCTTCAAAGTCATGACTTGAATTTCTATTACCTGAGGATGCTTCTTTGTAAATATAACCAATCATGGCCTTGCTGTTCTTCAGAAAAATGTATTCCCATGTAAAACTTTCATTGAATTGTGGCAGCACCTTACCCCAGGGATAAAAGATTTGAACAAACTTTAAAATATTACTCCTGTGTATTCATATGTAAAATTTTGATCATCCATTGTGGCCCCAGGGGAAAACCTCTTTTAACTTGAATCTACACTACCTGAGGATGAATTGGAATCCATATATATATATAAAGTTTCATTTCTTGGCCCAGTGGTTCTTGAAAAGAAGATTTTTTTTAAAGATGCCATGAATTTGTCACTAATTCTTAATTATGTCACCTTGGAAGAATGTTTGGCCCTTCATTTGAAAAAAAAAATTGAATAATCTTTACCCAAGGACACTTTGTGTCAAGTTTGGTTGAACTTGGCCCAGTGGTAGAAAATAGGAAAAGTTTTTCCACAACACACACTAGGGCTGGGTATTGAAAGAAATTTTTCGATACGATACATATTGCAATACAGAGGTGCGATATGCGATACATATTGCCGATACAGACAAATGAGAAAACACTACTTTTTGCATGTTTTTTTTAAAGAGGTGATAGTATTTTTTGATTGCATAAATTTACAAAAATAAAACATTTTAAATCCTTGTTGCTTTTTGAATGGACAAGTGTATGAAAGATTAATGTTATTTGCCCATATTTTTTTGAGAAAAATCAAATTTCGATCCAGTTAGTCAGGTATCAGACAAGCCCTTGTGCATGTCAATTTTTGGTGATAAATCTACTCGTCTTCAGAAGCCACAAACGACATTGACCCGTTTGTCTGTGTTGATACTTCACTTGACGTCGTATTCGTGGAAGTAATGGCAGATAAAATATTTTACCAAATTGTTTTGAGTTAAAATAAACTATGACTTAAAAAATTCTGATTGATATCTTCTTGGATCACCATGTGACACGCCATTTTGACCGGAAGAAGATTTTTTAGCAAAAAGGTCAATGTCGCGATGCCGGCTGAGATGGGTAATAATATATAGGCTTGTTGTTCCAACAGAACTTAATTCTTGTTGACAAATATAATTACATTTTGCCTTTTTGCTGCTAACTTTTACGTAGGCGATCCTTCACTTTTGACATGTTTACATGCGTTTAAAATTTTAAATAAGTCGTTCGTAATATAAGTCACCTTGACGTTTTTCTTTCTCTTAATTAAACGTTGTTTTCAATACGCAAGCATCTCTGTATCGGTTATCGTATTGCTAAAAAGTATCGATATATACCGATTACCGATATATTGATCCAGCATACATGTTAACTCTACCGATTTAGGCGGGAGTCTACCGCTTTTTCATTCTATCTCCCGCCTACCGATTTAATGCAGAAATCTACCGCTTTTCTACAAAAGCTTCGTGTAAAGTATTTTTGGTTCGCTTGGGTATCCATTTTTGAAGCCACTCTCATAAAATCTCGCTAGATATCGCGTGATTTGACTCGGAATCATACAAACGCTTTTTTGTACTTAGATTTCAAGCACGGATTTGACAACGACAACAACACAAGACTACCAGTGATTACATTGGTTACGATAAATTAATCAACATTCCTGCCATGAAAAAGGAGATACAGCTTTTAAGAATAAGATGAAAACATTTGACAGCATTTTTATCAATAAAGTCAATAGAAATCACTCGATTGACCAAGCCATGTTGCACATCTCTACTTTCGTTTTCGATCATCGCGGGAAATCTGATTTATATTATATGTCTCTGATATAACGAAAGATAGGAACTTGTTTTAGATCTAGATTAAACCATTTTATCATTTGTTTTGTTTAAAAACTGAATGAATATTTTGAATTTTTGCTTCTAGGCTAAATCAGCAAAGATCACTCTTCACAAGGCTAAGTAAAGTAAAGTATAGCCAATCCAAGCAAAATGATGAGCATGACAAATATTTGAATTTGTACAATTTATGTCAAATTTAAGGTGTTTCTGTCTTCTTCTTTGCTGTTGATATTTAAGATTAATTAGTGTAGGTACCGGATTTCATTTAAGGCTTATAATATACATGTATATTACATGAAAGATATCGATAATCCAAGCGTTAAACAACACGCGCGCAATGCTACCGCTTTTGAGGTCTGAATCTCCCTATTTTTCATCACAATAGGTTAACATGTATGGATCCAGCCCTAACACACACACACACTGACGGACAAATAAGATAACAATAGATCACCTGAATTACTCAGGTGACCCACAAATATGTTATTTACTCCTGCACTACTGTATTCAGTCGCAAGTGTTCAACAATGTAATTGAAATTCATTTTCTCAAAGATCTTTAAAAAAAGTATCAATGTGTTGTTGAACATTTAAAAATTAATTAATAACAAGCTGATTGGTCAGGACTTTTAAACATATCTAAAAAAAATTATTTAGTTGAAAATTTCAGATTTTCTAAATTGCATATAATTTGATGAACATATGACACAAAATTATAGATTTGAATCTCTCACTCTCTCTCTCCCTCTTTATTGTAAATTCTTTTCCTTTTTTTTTGGAAGGGGGGGGGGAATGGTGTGTAGCATATGCATACTGAGGTGAAGGAAACTACGCACCTAAAGGTTACTGAACAGTAAAGCAGATTAGATGCCACTTATACACACAGTCAGGTAAAGAGACATAACTCTTTGTAGGTACTTCGGTCTTGAAGTGTTTAAGGACATTGGCACGGTTCCTGGCTTTAGTATAGATATTTTCAAGAACTTCTGAACAGGTTTAATGGTACCAAACATGTTTAATTCTGGTTCGTTTAACCCACCAAGCCAGCCTTCCATTTTAGATTTATAGTCAAATCAATGCTTTCACAATTCTCAATGCATTCCCTATGTAAAATGTTGATAAAAAGAACCTACATTATTTTTAACCATACAATTTCTCTAAAACCCATTTATTTCATAGACATTTTGAATAAAATAGATTGTTGTATCCTATGACATGCATATATTTTGGCTTAAAATGCAAATACAGAAACAAGACACAGAAATTCCAGCACTGATCTTTAATTTGAGTTACTTCCCTTAATATCCAATTATTATTCATTATGATCATGACTTCAATCTATCATGTAATTTACGTTATTGGAAACAAATTGTCATAAATATATTTACATGGATTTATCAAACTTTTATTAGTAGTCTCTCTAGTGCCTCCTTCACATGACCTACAGAAATGTCCTTATGAGGATACCAGCCTAGCTTTCACCACTTTCAGCATATGTGGCATCTTTGCCCTTCCCAGGATAGCTATGGTAAATGACGGCCTGTTGACTGTCTGCTGCCCCTTTAGTTTACACAATGTACAACAA